AGAGTAGCAAACACTCATGGAGGGCAGACATCTGATTTGAAGGGAGTTGATCTGAAACATGAACAGCAGCAGATCCTCAGAAAAGTTATTAGTCAGAACACGGCTGTTGGAGGACTTGTGATGCTACCTGACCACTCTTTTGCTTCGTCAGAGTAATTATCTTCATACTGCTCTGGTCTTGACTGCAACAAAAAAGAGAAAACAATCAAAAACTACGAATTCAACTTCAGAGGAACAGCTCAAGGAGTCGGCAAAGTAACACTACTTCATTAAGACAGACTTGTACTCACATAGAGGCAGAGCCACACTCAGTGGTTAGTTCAAAGTCATGGAAGGATAGATCTGGCCAGGAGTGAATCATGACGAGAAAATGCAGGTACCAGACGCTCAGAACATCCTGATACAGAAGACCGGATTTAAAAGCGTTCAATTTGCCGTATGTGTGATGGAAATTAAAGAGGGCTCAACTGAACACACCTCAGAGTCCAAAATATACAACAGATTTTCCACAACCACCATCTTTCTCACACCTGCAAAAGGGGACAAAAGAACAAGAAAAACATTTGATCTCTTCTTTGGTTTTATATTAAGTGCAACATAATTCAGAAGTGAAAAGGTAATCATACGTGGTTTTATAGGGTTGCAAATACAAATTTTATACAGCATGCATTGGAATCAGAGGTGTCAAGTAACAAAGTACAAATGCTTGGTAAATTTTGTCCTCCATACTTTACTGGGGTAATTATTTTATTTATACAACTTTTTACTTCTACTTCTTACATTTTTTTTGCAATTATCTCTACTTTCTGTTCCTAATATTGTAAAAATAGGCTCATTAGTTTTGTTTCATTTTAGCTCATTTTCATTATGGCCTGTTGGTATTTAAAATAATATGTTTCATCCAGACAATAAAGTTCTTTGTGGTTGAACTCGGTGCTGCACCAACTTGTTGTTCGCCACATACCAAAATGAATAGTTCAAGATTATGTAAACTTAAATTTTACACTGTTACCCATCCATCCATCCATTTTCTGTCACTCTTTATCCCTGCTGGGGTCACAAGGGATGCTGGTGCCTATTTCCAGCTGTCTACGGGTGAGAGGCAGGGTGCACCCTGGACAGGTCGCCAGTCCATCGCAGGGCCACACTGTTACCATCATTTATAAAACTAAGAACATTAAGTAAAAAGAAGTTAAAATCCAGGAAATGTTCCTTTAAAAGGGTAGTGCAATAACCAGTAAGAGGTTTTAAGCATCTGTCCTTAAAAATGTTTCCTGCATTACTTTTACTTTTATACTTTAAGTAGTTTTTAAAATGGTTCTTTTACACTTTTACTTGAGTAAAAAGCTTAAGTTGATACTCTAACTTCTACAAAAGTGTTTTTAAACAGCACAATTTATATTTCTACCTGAGTAATAAAGATTAATACTTGTGACACCTCTGATTGGAATAATTTTGCTCTAATTAACTCTTTAAAGTAATGTTTTTATCAGCTTATCAGATCTAGAGAGGAGAATTTATGCCAGTTCTTCAGAACAGATTGAGGGAAGTTTTTCCAAACATTATCGATTAAATGTGAGGCCTGACATTGGCAGGGCCACACTCACACATGAATATTTTTCCATCTGAATCACTCTATCCACCTGTGACCATTTATATGTTGTACCATGAGGAGAGGATGTCCAGGGTAATAAGCCATTTTAGTAGGAAATGCTTTGGTTAAAAGAGAATTCGGATTTTTTAACAAAGGCTTCTTTTTTTATCAGTTTTGCATGGCTAATACCCACTTAACGATCTCTCACTACTTCATGTCAACAATCACATAAAACTCCAACAAGAGATTTTCAGTTGCAACAGGGCCAATTAAGGAAAAATTCAAAGGTAAAAAACTTTTCTTACGCAGTGCATTAAAAACCAAAGTACCTTCCTTGATTATGTGTCTACAGCCTAACTGCGCTGCATAAAAAAAAACAAAAAACAACACAATGCTGCAAATCAAACACATTACCAGGAATCAAGCTGTTGTCGATGGACTGAGAAAAACACATTTTTCCTTCAAGAGGATCCATCTTCCAGCGAGTCACAACAATATCTTTGCCCCCCTGCAAAGTTTTGGTACCACAAATTATATCATTAATTATTTTCATAAAATGTCATCCTTTAACATTACTTTTGTTTGCATGCAGCCAATACTAATCCACAAACACAATGAGTGATTTAAACATTTCGCTTGCACACCAACCCCAATCAATAGGTTGAGTTCATGGCCAAGACTGAAAATCACTGCTGTACTGCAACCCTCATCATGGTAATCCTCAGTGGAGATAAAGTCCACCTTGATGAGACTCTGGAGCTGGATAAAAAAAAAAAAAAAAAAAAAAATCTAATATCCCTCTTCGGTAAATTATCCTGATGCAAAATGGAAACAAATGACGTCACCTCTTTAAAAGCTCCCACATCCATATTTTCACATGCTTGGATAGTGAGAGAGAAAGGTATTATATTGTGTTTAAACAGTAGTTCCACATAAAAGTAGCATGTAAACATTCAATACCTGCCTGGATCTTTGTCAAAGTGAGGTTTGAAATGTGGAAAAAGCCGTCCTTTATGAGTAGAAAGACATGGTACATCCCTGTTACAGGAAACAGGGAATTTAGATTTACAGTTCAAAAAGAAAAAAATACTTGATTAAATATAAGTCTGGTGAAAAGATAGATTCAAAATAACAGATAAACATCCACTGACTATAGGAGAATGAAAAACCTTACCGACGGATGACTTGTCCTCACTTATGATGATGGAACGGTAGGTTTTCTCATCATTACTCGAGGGTTTGTCAACCAAAGTCTGAAAAATCCAATACATCCAACACAGGAATAAAAAAGTGAAGAAAAAAAAACAGAAGATAAAACTGAGAGAAAACAAATACAGTTCACATCTGTTTCTATCATACAGAAATATATGTCACTGTTTTCAATCAAATCACTATTTAAAAAATCCATTAGAGCATATTTAATGTAAAAGCATTAAATAGGGGCTCTAACACACTAGATGTATAAAAAACAAAAACTCCCAAACCCTTGTAAAGAGGATTCTTTTTTGTGGAACATAGATCAAATGAAGGTTCCCATTTCTTTCACAGACCACCAAAAATGTCCCACCAAGGCAAACGTCGATGGCGTCCACGTCAGTTCCTGAAACAACAAAGAGTCAAGCTTTGACCGATAAAGATTTTCAGCTTTGAAATCTGATGCAGTTATTTCTGTCAGACTTTGTAGCCTCTAAGTCCTTGGCATGGAAGGTGATTAGGACTACCGTAGATGAATTTAACTTTAAAATGAACCTAAACAAATGATCAGATTTTACTTAATTAATAAAATGGCATCAAGGGGTAAGATTATTACTGATGTATCCACAGACAAAGTAAAGGAATTTTGCCTATATATATATATGGCCTTCAAACTTTAGGCATGACTCCTAAAACACAAATAATCTCTAATAAAGCAAGAAAAATAAACCAGATGTATTTTCTTTACCAAAGTGAAAAAGTAGCAAGACGGTCTGATAACTCTGATCAAACAGGATCACCGTCTTGTCAACAACCACAATGCTCCAGTTTAAACCACCAAAGGACAAAAGCCGGGGATCTGCTGGTACCTGCAGAAAAACATTTACAGTAAATCATCTCAAAACATGGTTGACTGCAATGTAGAAAAATCAGAACTTCTGAAAAACACCAGGTTTTTGCAGCCTTTGATTAAACTTCCTGACAAGACTATTCTCATTTGAATCTAAAACATCCAAAGACTACAAATAATAATTCAATATGTCTATAATAGTTCCACAAATCTTAGTTATGCCCCTGTCCAGGCCTTTACTTCCCCAAATTACCTCATCGGCAGAGGAGATTTTGACCAGTGTGTCCACCTGATACAATCCGCTTCCACTTTCCTCTGTCGACACACCGTACAGCCGCGCGGAGTTTGTATCTTCGTTGACAAGGAGCTCAACGTCGCTCCACGTCGCCATCTCTAAGAACTGAGAAATAATATGAGAAATATAGAAATCCCTCAACCTGTCAATTAGCTGCTATATACATTAGCTAGTCCTTTCTCAGCCCTTAGCTTGACGTTAAAGCAAAATTCAGCGACAAACTTTAAAACCAACCAAACGCAAAGGATGATATCGAAGCGACAGTTTACTATCTGATGGATTATGCAAACGCCAAATGACACTAATTACTGTACTTTGTATTTCCAAAACAGAAAGGCAGCTCCAACCCCAGTTCATAACATTAGCTTTAGAATTTGGCGGGTCGCAATATGGGCTGCGGAGTCCCTGCGTTTGGTCTTCCAGGTGCTTCGTCTCCAACAGACGCACAGTTAACTGATTGTTTACTAATAATTCACAGTCTGTATCCAAAATTTGACACCTTTTTCTTGGATAATATGTTTAGTTTTAGTATCTGTCAATATATGAAATGAAATCCAGTGAAAATAGGTGAATGTAAAACCTTGTTTGAGCCTGGTGGAACATATGTCGGGATTAAAGCACATTGTCCGCCACGCGTTGCCAGGTTGGATTTACATAGCTATGTTTGCAGCATGACGTTTTATTTTCAATCACAAATACATTTACGCTTACATACGAAGGCGTGATTTATTAAAGTACATTGTTATGCAAAACGTGTTTTGTTAAGTGTATGGGTGCTTGAAAGAATGCAGAAATCCTCACAATAGTTGCTTTAAATCTTGGTAACTTCTCTTTCTTGCTTTGTCAATGGAATGGAACGAATGCATTAATAAATCAATACAATTCATGTCGTATTATCATAACACACACACACAATATATATATATATATATATATATATATATATATATATATATATATATATATATATATATATATATATATATATATATATNATATATATATATATATATATATATATATATATATATATATATATATAAGTTTAATATACCTACAGCACAACCTGGCAACACAGCTCAGAGCAGCTTCTAGCTGAGAAACACATCGACCTGGCTCTAAGCAAAGACCTTTCCAGTATGTGTGGAACCACAGCGAAAATAGACTATTACATATAACTTTGTGATAAGAGGTTATGTCGGTAAGTACTAATAGATCAAAAACAGTAATACTCGCACAAATATTTATGTTATAACAGTATTTTTCCTATGTGCTGGAGATTTTTTTTCTTTCAAAGATGGCGACGGTCGGCAGTCGTTAGCATAGCGACATCATGGCTGCTGGCTATGGAAGTAGCATTTTAGCTGTTGTTTAACTTTCTATCCTAAATATAGTATTGTGAGGTAAATGTACTAGTAGGCATACATGAGGTTACATGTGTGAGGCTGAATTGTTTAACAGGTAACTGCTTTAGCAGAAGTCAGTTTAACAAAGCGTCATCCATGTCCTAGTAAATACGTATTTTAGCGCTAGCATGGAAAGACCCCAGGCTCGGATTGTAAAATCATGTCCGTGTTTAAAGTCTGAAGTTAATTGGAGTGTGCCAGTGGACTTAAATATGGTCTAACGTATTTTAATAAGTATGCTGTCTTAATTTAGAGGTCTGGTGTGTATGTTAAATACAATCATTTATTTGGATCTTAAAGTAACTTTTGTTGCATTAAAGTTTATTTCTTCGATCAAGATTCTTTTAAAAGGCTAAAATTCTGGGGTTGTTTATGTAAAACTTAAATTAAAACGCCGTTAAGTGGACTAAACTCGAAGAGTCTTAATTTCATAATTATGTTTGTTATCCTGGGAGGTTGTGGTATTTTAGAATAATTTTAAAGTGATATAGTGGACAACTTTTGAGGTTTGTCCAGTAGTCAACGTCAGTTAGTAATTGGGACCTCTGTGAGGTTTAGATGTGCTGTAAATGTCCTAGAAGCCATTTGTTGTGACAAACTATTCTAAAATGAAGATGGAGCAAAGAAAAGCTTTCAGTATTTTCTGCCATTAATCTGTCAGCACTTAGGAATATTGTATTACTCCGCACCTTGTTGTCATCATATTGCAGTGGGTGTGTTTATTTACCTCGTAGATTTGCTGCTGACTTGTCTTTTCGTGTTCATTTGTTTCAGAATAGTGACGACTCTGCTGAGTTGAACAGAGTGAATTCTCCAGTTGATCACAGAAGAAAGCACAGCATGGAATCTTCTAGATCTCCCAGATCATCCAAACACCACCATTCACGATCTAGGTCACGCTCCAGAGACCGAAAACGTAAGAGACATTACAGTCATTACTGTAAAGGTTTCTTTCTCTTGACTGCCATGCGAGAGAAAAATATATACAGAAAAATGCTGATGTTGGGATTGACCAACCGACCAATATTGACCATATTTATTCTTGTTTACTTCTTAACTGAGATGATGGTTAGTGACAAAGTACCTGGGTGCGTTACATCCAAGGAGAACTGTGTCATGTGCCCTGCAGAACCTCCATGTTGAATTGTTAGTTGTTGTTTCATGGTAGGATTTCTAATGAGTTTGGGAATCTGTGTTTTGTGTTTTCCAGGTGACAGAAAATATAGACGAAGTCGCAGCAGGAGCAAAGAGGTAATTAATATATTTAGTTGTTTTAATGAAAACCAGTTTTTGATTTGAATTTGAGGAGAGTAGTTGTTAGCTTTAGGTCATGGTGAGTATGTAGTGCCTGAGCTAAACATTAATCTTAAAAAAAGGCTCAGGAAAAAAAAATAGAGCTCAGCTCAACAGGAGACTTTTTGACCTCCTAATGCTCACATTTATCGCAGGAAACTTGTCTCCTTGGATATCTGTGATTATTTAAAGATATAAACTGGTGAAGACTAGATTTTTCTTTTCCTTTTTATTTTTGTTTAATCCTGTGTGGAGATCACATGATAACATTTCTACAATAAATCATACTCAGCGTGCTAATGCACGAAGAGACTGAACAGAGGACCCTGCTGACATAGCAAAATAATATGCCTACTACTGGGACAGGTAACTATCTGCCATTCAAACTCCTATTTGTCTCACAATGTTTGTAGAAAAGTGGCATTAACTCTGTCATCTCTTGCAGCTAGGAATGGGCATTCACTGAATCTCAAAAATGCTTTAAACTTAAAACGCAATCCCAGTTGGATGCCCATCCCTATTTTGACCTTTCAGTTGGTCTAAAAAGTTTAGGTTGCATTGAATTGCTTTTATCAGATTTTCAAAACTAATTTGAAGGTTTTCAGTCTGGATAATAAGAATGAAACATTTGCATGCACATTATTAGGTCTACTAAAAGGTTTCCAAAAGGCTTGCTTTATTTGCTACTGTTGCTATTCTTGGTCTCCCTATCAGTGCAGCCAAAACAGTGCATACTAAGAGATATCCTCATTTACAATCATGATGTGTTATTTATGAGGATGGGTTTCAAAAAGGACAAGGTTTTTTGTCTTGTCAGATTTTTTACATACTCTGTGCTCTAAGCCATGGTACTAACTCTTTTTGTTGCACTATTTTCCTGAAAGAGACAACTTCTTCTTAAAACAGGCACGGAAAAGAGATTCAGAGAAGCCATCAAAATCTCACAGAAAGTCTGATGACCATCAAGAGCAGGAGAGACATCCCGCAGAGAATGGAGAGGAGCGATCCAGGCGGAAGGAAAGGAAGTCTTCAAGGGGGCGGAGCTTCTCCAGGTCACACTCGAGAGATAGGTAAGTCATTGTGAATCAAAAGAGACTCTTTTCAAAAACATCTTATTTAATGTCAAATGAGAGAAAAATACTGTGTGTCGGTATAGTTTCTGCTATTATATTTTGTCATAGCCCAAAATGTACTGACGACTTTAAAAAAATATCTCCCAGTCATTTGTTTGGACGTTACCTTGTCAGAATCTTGAAGCTCAATGAAATTCGAGGAACGCGTCCATAGAGTAAAATTAATAACATTTCAATAGAAACATGCAAACAGTTTTTCTTCCATCTCTTGAGGAGTCTGTAAACTCTTGGTACTTGAATACATATACTTGAATGAAAATAATTTAACATCTAAATAGTGTGGGTTCTGTACCATGAAAAGAAAATGCATCTTCTTCAACATTTTTTTACATTCTTGGCATCTCTGAATCTCTTACTCTCCAGAAATAGACCAAAAGAAATACTTAGCAACACTTGGCTGTTCAAAGTGTGACAGCAAATGGTGGTACCTTAAAAGCATTGTTAACATTATTGTCTTTATTTGAGCCATTTTCTTTATTTTGTAAGCTTGTTTCTCGTATATTACCAGTAATAATTTATTTTTTATTAACCGCAGACGGCATCACAGCAGGAGCAGAGAACGGCGGCGGTCCCGATCACGCAGTCGGGAAAGGAAGAAGAAGGCCAGGTCTCGTTCAGGTTCCAGAAGCAAACATCGTCACCACAGCAGAAGTCGTAGCAAAAGCAGGCGAGTGTTATAAAGCAAACCCTCTTGGTGGTTTTTGAACCATTCTCCTAATTTTACTGCTGGTTATTGCTGCAGGGAGCGCAAGAAGAGGATTGAGAAGGTGCACAGAAAAAGTCTTAGCAGGTCTGTTAGTCCGCTCGTCTTCCGTGGGAGAAACACAGCTATGGATGCACAAGAGGCTTTAGCCAGAAGGTAACTATGGAACCAGGTTTCACAATCTTTTATTATTTTAATGTAAATCCAATGATTTTGTTGACTATTTGTTGGGTTTGTATAAAATAACAAATGTTAAATCAAATGGCACACTTCTCAGTAATTACCTAATATGGAAAAAAGAGAGTATGAGTTTCTAGAGTATTCATCATTTCAAATAAAATAAAAAATGTAACCAAATAGTGTTTTTATTTTGCAAATAAAAATGATGTTCTTTCTTTCCAGACTAGAAAGAGCCAAGAAACTTCAAGAGCAAAAAGAGAAAGAGATGTTAGAGAAACAGCAGCAGCAACAGCAGGAAATGGCTGCAGGTGATGAGTTGTTACTGTGCAGCTTTAAAAATGCTGATGGTTCTGTTTATTTGCTGGTGCTTATGCTCCTGTGTCTGTTCTCAGCTGTGGCTGCCCCTATTGCAGCTGCTGCTGCAGCCGCTGCCTCAAACCCTGCCCTAAACGTCGCCGCCCTGCTGGCATCTGGAACACAGGTCACTCCCCAGATTGCGATGGCTGCACAGATGGCAGCGCTTCAAGCCAAAACCCTGGCTGAGACTGGTATTGCTGTCCCCAGTTATTATAACCCATCTGCTGTCAACCCAATGAAGTTTGCAGAGCAGGAGAAGAAAAGGAAAATGCTTTGGCAGGGAAAGAAAGATGGGGTACGTTTGTTTGTAACCCATTATTCCTGCCTTTTCTCTGTGAAATTGTGAATAGGATCTTGATGAATTTTCGTGATACTCATGTTCAAATTTGTCTTTTTAAGGAAAAGTCACAAACAGCTGAGTTGTGGGAAAAGCTCAACTTTGGAAACAAGGATCAAAATGTCAAATTTCGCAAGCTAATGGGTATTAAGGTAAGACTCTTTTCTTATGTAGTTTGACGTCTTTTTTCTTCCTTTTGAGCTTTAGCTTTAAAGTAAAATGAGTTTTTATGTTTTTGCAGGGTGAGGATGATGCAGAAGCTGCCAAAAAACTCAATGAAGAAGGCTTGAAGACTCTTCAAAAGCAAGAAGAGATGTTTAAGAACCTTGATGTTCAGTACGAGATGGCTCGATCTCAGACACACACCCAGAGAGGAATGGGCCTCGGCTTTTCCTCATCTTTTTCTCGGGGGATGGATTCTGTGTAGTGCCCATCCTCTGCACTTCATACTCATCTCATCACATAATTCATCGCTGGCCCTCAAGCTTGCATGAATGTTGCTCTGAATCTGTAAATTATTTATAGAAAGAAAAAAAAAACCTCAGAAATTGTAAGATTGAATTGTATATAGTGAGACGCTAAGTTTGTTTCAGTGTCTATTAATCTGTACGTCTTCTGGAAAAGGAACCCATGCTTGCATTAACCCAATGGTTAATGTAAACAGTTAAATAAATTACTTCTTTTCAACAATGTGATATCTTTTTTATGACAAAAAATATATTGTGTGGTTTTCTGAATATGATGTGGTTTAAATGGAACCTGTTTACATCCATTCAACAAATGATAAGGTCTATGGTAGCATAATAGGAGTCCCTTATCTTCATTTCTCAATGGGGAAAATGAAACAGGGATTGTTAGAAAAACTCTTCTCATGGACTGCTCTGCATTGAAGTGAGCTCGGAATGAGTAACAGATGCCATCCTTTCATGTAATAAAATTTGTGTTTGGGGAAAAAAAAATAATGCATCGCTTTTTTGTGTTATACCTGCTTGCAGTTGCATAATGTGTTATCAGTTACAGGGATTTAACAGAGAAATGTTATTGAATGTTTTTCTGCAACTATTTTTCAATTATTGTTTTTTTTTTTTTGTACAGCATTGACTTTTTTTACTGGAGAAAATGGCTTTGCTTGGTTAATAAAAGAAAAGCCCCAAGCAGCAGATACAGCCTTATGCTAGGTTTACTTTCAAACTTACTGAGATTGAGCTGTTTAGGGGTTTCCAGTTGCAAGGAAGACTGCAGTGGTTTATGTAATGATTTTAAAGCAAGAATATATTTACAACAATTGTTTTATGATCCCAAGTCAATGTAACATTCTATTTGATAAAATATTGTTGCTAATGTAAATTGAAATATTAATTTTGGCATGGTCAATATAGATTGAAAGCTAAAGTAAAGTTTAAAACCAGCCAGAACATTTGTTTTTACCATCTTGACTAAAACAAATTTCATTTTCACTTAAACCATGTGAACCCCAGCTCTGTATATCTCCGTCGCTGTTGTCCTTTGGTGAGATGCTTCATCTGCATTGCCGTGTCTCAGCGTGCCCTAGTGTAGCTGTGGCTACGTGTGAAAGCGTACATGATTGCTTCAAATGGAATCTCCTGACTTAAGGGGTTATAAAAACAGACCTAAACATCTTAATGATCCCACCATTCTTTATAGTGTATCATGGACAGAACAGGCTTTGAGTAAAAAAAAAATAATAAAAATCAAACCTAGAATCATACACGTGATCCAACTCCATTGACTCAAGTTACTATCTGACCCTTACCTCCTCATCTCATTGTGATTTATTTTCACTTTCGTCTTCAAGGTCAATAAGATGACAGATTTATTTATGTGACTGGAACGTAAAGGTTTTCAACCCCTACTTGCTTACAAAAGAGGAAAATCTATGAAATATCAAAAAAGATCAAACTTGCTATAAAGAAAAGTAGTCTCTATATAAAATGTGCAAACTAAACAGATTATTGCCTGTGTACTTAATTGCATCCTAATGCAGCTGATTAAAATTTCATTTTTAAATAATGTGGTGAGTCATATTTAAGATCTTTGTAAAATCCAACTACAATCTACTGAGGTCAAACAGATCTACAGAAAACAATAAAAAAATCCACAATAATTGACATGTTTCACCAAAGTTAGGTTATATTAACATAACCAATAACAATGCACCTTTCCTTCTACTCTTAGAACAATGGATATGGTTTATCCTTTGGAGAAAAAATAAATTTACAAAAAAATCCCATCTGTAAGGAAAGTGCCAGTATAGTGTTGGCAGTTCTATGGAAATTCCCTCATTTACATATGAGACTTGAGTAAAGCACATGAGCGACGCCAGTAATGAGGTTATGGTTTGCAAACTCCAGAATAAGAAGCAGGATTGGATATTCGCTGTGTCTTTTTCCTTCAGTTGACTCATCAATCAAGCCCATCCAGTGCAGCAGGAGAGTCTGCATGGCTTCTGGAAAGAGCTCAGCAGCCAGCTCCTCAGCAGGTGGCAAATCGCTGATTTGCTCAATGTGCTGAACTTTGAAACCCTCCACCTTCTGACTGATGCTACTGTTTGCTGCATGAAACTGCTGGCCGAGCCACCGTCCCATACAAGTGAGCAGGTAACTTGAATATAAAGAGTCTTTGGTCCAGTCTTTAGCCTCCAGTAGTGCTAACACAGCTTCAGCTGCATCCTTTTCATCCAAGTTTCCATTCATGTATAAACTGATCTTATCTAAAAGCAGCAAGATAGTCTCCAGACAATCTGTGTAGCTCTGAGTGGGAGCGCAGAGCTGTTCGTCCAAGTGGTGCAGCTTTTCTCTGAGAGAGGCTACAGTGGGATGGATATTCTTGGTTTGCCGGCTTTGCTTTGTAAACGAACAATAATCATGATCTGCTGATGTATCAGCTGCATTTCTAACACATGAATCCAGGATTTTCCTGTTGGTCTGGCTATGATTATGTCCAGGTATTCCACTCTCTAACTCTCTGTCAGCCATGCTTGGAGACACTGGAATGTCAAGCTGCATATTGAGGTTGTAGCTCATTTCTAGTGGACCTTGATCCATCTTAGATTTCCAAACATCCTGCAAAGAAAAGACAATCTTAATCACATATTAAACATATCCAGTAAGGATCCTAAAGGTTAACGGAGGATTGCAGTAGGGGCTTCTTCGCCTACTTCTTAAAGCTGTTTCAACTCTGAAGAGGTCATTTTGATGAGAGGTGATGATGAAATGTCTCTGGGAAATCACAAAAGAGTTTCAACTGTCTTGTTAAAAAGCCCCCAATTCCTCCCAAGTCGCAACCCAAACCGTGTCAAATAAATTGTAGACCGTAACGGCAATAACTGTGCAATGTATAATGTGCAATTACTATTTAATACCCTGTGCGATAACCTGTTTATTTTTATTTGATACACAGTGCAATATTCATATAGATAAATACCCATCTATAAAAATACCCTGTTAAATTATCCTTTATAATAATCCTGCTTTGTAAAAACATATCCCATATACTGACTGTGCATCTATTCTCCAGGAGCACAGTTTTAATATCGTTAAAACACTTTACAGTACAGTATTTTATTGTGTATCTTTTAACTCTTCACTAATATGTTATTCTTTAACATTTTCCTAAGGTCTATAATTGTGTGACCATTTTTTCTATAATCTGTTTGCTGCTGTAAACACCTGAATTTCTCCATTGTGGGACAGTGAAGGGATTTTCTATTCTATTCTATTGTTGTCTGGTTTTGTCTCTTTGTCCTCTGTCGTCCCTCTTTTCTATCTCTGTCTCCAATTTTTATCCCCCCTCTCTTTCTCCCCGTCTCTGTTGTATATGACTTTATTCCCTAAATAATTTTAAATAAAGTCTCCCCTCTGTTGGAATGTTATCTAGCCATCAGACATTGATTCACAGAGCTGTGTTGGCAAAACAGGACACGGAAAAAAAACAAAAATGTTAATGCTACAAAAAAATATATTTTTTATGTGGGGGTGTTCTCTATACACTGTGTTTAATTTTGACCCATTATGAATATGCCTACACGAACAACCAATTAAGATTGAACTACACATTCCAATTATTGCAGCTGCACAAATATTACATGAATGCAAAATTCAAAGTTTGAGCAAATCACTAAGAACACATGCATTGTTGACAGAGAGAAATGTATATTATAACCAAATAAAATAATTCTATATACCTGGAAGTTCTCTAGCACTGCAAGCTGCTCTTGTTGATTGTACATTTCAAAAGCTAATCGGAAAAGTCCTTGAATGCTGTAGAACCACAAACTGTTATTTGCAGCAGGCACCCTCAGTCCCTGGAATCTAAATTCTGCAACAGACAAAAACAACACAAGTTACATGATGATAATAATAGTGATGCTGTTAAGATTCCCTTTGCTCTGTTGTATCTGTTCTACTTGAAACTTTACCTGAGGGAAAATGCACTTTAGTGGCAAGTCCTTTCTTTGCAAACTTTGCATGGTACCTGGGATGGTTTTCCACCCGGATGTCAGTGCTGGACAGGAGATCAGCTCCTAAATACAGAGGAATAACTGGACCCTGGCACATAAACATAGAATTATCTATATCACAGTGGAAAAGGTTTTATATCAATATGTGGAGATCACATAGATGATAATCAATTCGCTATGTTTAAATAACACTTAGAACCAAATCTATATCAAACTATGCAACAAAAGCAATCAATTTACCTGACTGAGACAGCTGGTCAAACTAAAGGATGAAGAATCCATTAAATAAATAAAACGAATCTTCCGACAGCCTCCATCCCACTGCGGTAAAGTTAACTGGACGTGTGAGCCGCTTGACATAACTATAAACAAACAGATGATGAATGTGGCGTATTTGCTGCGCCGCTTCCACTTTTCTTCCTCTTGCTTATTGTTGGTTGGCAAGCAATGGTGTGGTTGGTGAAATGTCGCCACCTACTGGATGGTAATATACTGTTACTGTAAATTGGTGAAAAAAATCCCTCGTCGATGTCTCACAGTGAAAGGAAATCGCCTACTTATCTTTATATTTTTAATTTTTAGTAACAAAGCTCTGAAACTGAGCCATGTCTTCCTATTAAAATGTTACTCTGATGACCGAGGTAATAGTGAAACAATGTGATATTTGATTATACGAGTTTTGCTGTAAAATATTTCTTTGAAAACGGTGGTATATTAAACAAGGAACACAACAGAAAAAGCAAACTTCAAATTTAATGTAAAAAATGATTGTTTCACCTCCGACGACTTCTAGCCTAGAAGACTAGACTGTGGGATAAAAAAAAAAGAAAGATCGAACAAACTTCCGCAACACGTGACGGGACATTGACCAATAGGCAGAAAGGAAGGCCCTTACAGAGCTCAACTTCCGTTAGCGCCGAAAGACTAAAAATGGCCGAGGTGGATTTCGGAGACAGTGAGCTTTTCCAACAATTGGAGGATTCTGAACCGCCCGTCTCAAGGCACATTCGTTTCACAGAAGATGACGACGAAAACAAAGAGACGAACCAGCTTCGCACTAGGATGGAAGAGTGTGAAGATAAAATTGAAAGACTTTCTGAGGAGAATATCCTTGTGTCAACGTAGCATGTTTGCTATCCCTAGCTCATGATCTGTTTAAATATACTATTTATGTTTGCTGCATTTCTCTCAATTTTCTTAACCTATAGCTCACATAAAGTATTAAGACGCAAACTCAGCATCTTGACACGACCTAGGTATTTTTTTAAGTCAAACATGGTTGTTCATATTTAAGTTAAAACGAAACCTCTCTGTATACAACAATCCAGCGCTAATTTCTACCTGCTTTAACAGTGGCATCACAGTGGAAGATGTCAACGTCGACGGGCCTCTTCTTCAGATCCTTTTTACCAACAATATTATGTCAAAGTAAGTTAAAAGTCGCATAATTTAGCAGGACACAGAGGTGGGAAACAACCAAAAAGAAACCACTAACTGTGTAATTTGGATAATGTCTCTATCTGTACTTTTAAACTGTTTAACTTGCATCTGTGCTGATGACATGTTTGCAAGCATGAGTACTAAACAATGCTTCTCTGCAAGGCAATGCCGTCAGGAACTTGAAGACTGCATCTGTAGTGTCATTCTGAAGCACCAGAAACCAGGCAACGATAAGAAGATATCTGTGTATCATATGAAGCCTCAGGTATTTACTCGAAAATGTGTCCTGTTTGCAAAAAAAATGCTTGTTGAACAAAATTGTAAAAAAAAATGCTATTCCGTGGAAGAGAAATAAGCAGTTGATATCTTTATTGTACTAGACAACTCATATATCATATAAATTACAAATATCCTTTTATTTAGGCTAGTCATTTTCTTTGAATGAATTGAGCCATATTTCATATAAGTTGAATTTAAGCAAAGGTTTAAAATATAAATAAATAAAACAATGATAATATAATTTTTACACCCTGAAGTTAATATAAATATACCTTTGTCTTTATGCAAAACATTACCAGGCTTGGATTTAATGACAGTTGTCACAGCTGGACGGATTTTGTCATGGAAACAGTGAGATTGGTGCCCTACAGGTGCACTATTATGGAATGTAAAAAAATTCCTTAATTTTTAAATATGTGGATTTCTAAGTTTTTAAAGCTGATGAGAGCCCATAACTGTGTATTTGCATATGTTTTGGTGGCTATTTGTTGTTGTTTCCTGACTGCAGTCAGGGGTGAACAGACAAAAATGTCATGAACTAATTAATTATCAAAAGGATGTAACCCTAATTACATTTCCGGGACTGTTAAATCCTATGGGATCTACTCTCCTTAGAGCTGTATGTCTTAAGGTTTTTAATTCCGCCATGTTGTTTATTTTTGACAAAGTGAAAAAAGCAAATGTAATAAGATGAAGTCACAAGTTAAGCTTTGTGCAAGAAGTATGGGGAAAAAATATATATGATATAAATGCATATATTCACAAAATAAAAACTGAAATGTTCACAATCAGAGTCACTGATTGGTATGGAAACCAAGGTTTAATTTGAAGTGTTAAAGTGGTTTCAGTGAATTTTAGTGAGTTTTAACACTGCATCAGTAAGTTAATCTGAAAGGAAAGACTTTGTGACTTGCATTGTTTGGACAGTTAAAACAGGAAAGGTAGTAGGTGCACCACTTCCTCAATTTATTTTTGGATAATTATTTTATTTGCAAATAACAGCCTAATAACAAAATGACAACTTAAAGGTTTTCAAACTAAACCAGTGTTATGTTTCTGATATTGAAGTTCTTTAAAGATGCCAGAAGTTAGTATTGCTTTTAAAATAGCCATTAGTTTCAGCCTTGGAGTCACAACTAATCTGTATTTGTATTCAATGAATTATCTACTTTATGGAAGATATTGACTGCTTCTAATGTTCTTCTTTTTTTTTTAAGAATTCTGCTTTCGAGTTGGATGAAGATCCTGTTAAGTTGGCCTCCAGTAGTGTGAGAACCACAACAGAAGCCTTTAAAGTAAGGATCTAAATTTATCTCCACACATGGCAGAACCTTCGATCCAAAGAAAATGGAAATGTTATATTTCTTTGTTTTTTATCTCTTAGGTTGTTGGGAGCGTTTTATATTTCTCAACCTTCTGTGTTGACAAACTTGGACAGCCGCTGGTGAATGAAAACCCCCAACTGACTGATGGATGGGATGTACCAACGTATCTTTGAAATGGAGTTTTCCTTGATAGAACAACTAAAATGGACTCTTTTCACTATTCTTTTTTTTTTAAACATCAACATATAGAAGTATATTTGATGCATAAATGTTCCACTACTTCCTGAATTGATGCACAGCTACCAGCAGGTCTTTACCCAGGTTAATGGAACAGATGGACTGGAAATGGAAAGTAAAAAAAGGTATATCATTTCCATTGTTTCTAAAATTGAAGTGTTCCTTTGCAGATGACGCTTTAATTTTTCTTGTACTGAATAACTATTTTCACAGACCAAAGTCTATGTGTTTCAACTGTGGCTCCAGCACCCATCAACTCAGAGACTGCCCCCAGGTGCTCTTCTGCAGTTAATAATATGGCAGGAATACAAGTGAAATCTTAAACAGAGAGAGCAAGAACTTAATTTTCTGTGTTTATATTTTGTCTCCTCCTTAGCCTAAAGACATGGCTGCAATCAATGAAAGAAGAAAAGAGTTTAATCAGAACTCAAGCCAGGTCACACAGGGCAACCAGAGATACCACGCTGATGAAGTGGAAGAGCGCTTTTCCAAATTCAAACCTGGAGTATTGAGGTAGGATTAGAATTCTGTGCAAGGCTAAAAAAAAATATGATCACATGCCACCTATTTTTTATAAAATCAAAGTATACATGTATGAGTTCTGCTGTACTTCAATTTCTAAACAGTGAGGAGCTTTTAGCAGCCCTAGGAGTGGATGGCAACACCCTACCTCCTCTGATTTATCGAATGAGGTACCTCGGTTACCCTCCAGGTTGGCTCAAGGAGGCAGAGATGGAAAACTCTGGCTTATCACTTTATGATGGAAATGGTATGTTTACTGTTAGTAATAATGTTTTCCATAATATTGATTTAAATTTGGCTGCAAAAAATTTGGACTTGGTCTGTTTTTTTTCTCTCCCTCCTCCTAGCACCCAATGAGGACACGGGCAACACGTCACAAAACCTCTCCTATGATGTTTCCAAACTGGTGGATTTCCCAGGCTTTAATGTACCTGCAGCTCATCAAATAAAAGATGTACGTTTAACATTCCTTCCAACCAATTCCAAATATTCCAGAAGAGCAGCTACCCTTTTGAATGAACTGGAATATTTCAGTTAAAAAGTTATATGAATGTACTTTTATTTTATCTCAAAGAGAGACTAGTATTAGATTTTAAGAAATCTCTCATAGGGGTTTGTTGTTGCGCTGGTCCTATGAGTTTTATTAAATTATTTGGGAGAGCTCTGGTGCAATTGCCAAAAATATCTAAAATTTTTGTCTGACTTCCAGGAGTTTATGCACTACGGATCAATTCCAATGCAGACCAGCCACATGAAGCAAAACTATGCCGCCTACCTGTCTAACAACTTTCCTAAGGTATGACTTTTCTCTCTTTAAGCATAAAGCTCAATACTAAAACCTGGTTTTCATTTGATCTTATTTGTCCTCCCTACTACAAATGAATATGTAAGGAAACCTAATGAACTTCACTTGTATAAATAATTACTTCGCACATATTTTAGGACATTAAGAAAGGGAAAAAAAAAAGATTGGATACAAAATGTTAATGAAAAAGGAATATTATTAAGAAGGATAGTGAGTTGAGAACAACTTTTTTTTTATGATGATCTGGTCAAGAAGCATAACACAGGGCAGATACAAACAGAAAACAAATACATTAAACTCAACAATTACGTACTCAGGCAAATATAACATGTAATTAGTGGATGAAAAGAAAATCAAAAATGACATGTCCTGTGTTGTGTTGTCCATAGTCTCTGCAGATGATATATGAAATTCCTTCACAAACCAGCTTAAAAAAATATTAGCTTTTTATGGCTTAAATTATGCTAAGTTCATCCCCCTACTAGATTTTTATTTTCCATGAGTGTTGAGGTTAAAAACTCCTTAAGCTTTCCTCCCAAGTATTTCTTAACAGGTAGAAAAAGTTTGGTTTTGTTGGCTAATTTGTTCACCTTCAACCGAATTAGAATTTATGCAAATTTCTATCATTTCTCTCACAGCATTCAATCATTTTATACATTAACTTATTTTCTCATCTTTTTTAAGAGAGAAACATCCCTGTTTAGGATCTTTATTGGCTATACTGTTTGATCTGAGCTCTAAAATATTTATCCCTTTCTTTTTGTCAGCAGTCTGATGGCAACTCCAACAAAAGGCGACATGAGTTTGACTCCTCTCCACATCTCAGGAAAAAGACAAAGTCCAGCCCAGAGCTTAACTCAGACAGAAGCTCCGATATGGACATTGAATCAGGTATCACTACATTTAATTCCCCTTCCTATGCATCCCTCATTGTAGCAATGTGACAGAAGAGCCCTTTATTCCAGAATAAAATTTCTCTAAACTCTTCTTTATAACCGACTTAAAAGGCATTATACCTCACCAGAAAATGATTGCTTCTTTATTATGTTGTTTTCAGACCCTGGAACACCTTATTCAATTGCCTCTGGTGACTTCCAGTTCCAACCACCACTGCCTCCGGGCTCCCCTTGCTATAATTCACCTCCTCCTTTACCCCAGGGCACTCCCCCTGCTACACCCACTCCCCCACCTCTCCCTAAAGGTACCCCGCCACCAACTCCCACCAACGGCTCTCCAGCTTTGCGGAGGCGTAACGTGCAGCTAGCTGATGAGTCTGTGGAGGGAACTGAGGATGAGCTGACTCTGGAAGAACTGGAGGAGCAGCAGAGGTTGATCTGGGCAGCTCTAGAAAAGGCGGACACAGCCACAAATAGCGACAGCGAGACTGCCGCTTCAGGAACACCTGCTCCCAGTTCACCCAGTGTTTCCATACCAACACGCATAGACGCTGAAATGGAAGATGTCGAAGAGTCAGTGGATACAGTGAGACCTCCTGAGCCCTGTTATGACAGTGAAAATCAGATGGAACCAGATGTACAAGAGGGTTCAGCTGCAACACCTGGACCCATAAAAGTAGAGGAGGAAAGTCCTCAGAGCCCAGAGCCGGAGCCCGTCAGGACCCAAGATGAGAGCCCTGAAAGCCCAGATCAAGAAGTCCCCGAAGAGGTTGCTGGAGACGCTTCTGCTAAGAATCCAGAGAAGGTTGTAGCTGTTCCTCACCGCAGCAAATTTGCAGCTGGCATTGTTCCATTTGAAGATACCCCTGAATTCACAGAAGTAGCTGAAGCCACTGGAACATACCTGAGAATCAGAGACTTGCTGAAAGGTTCCCCTCGAAGCTTGGCAAAGAAAAAATGACATTTGTTGCATTGATTCAGAACACATGGACAGTTTTAATCTAAAATTTCTCATTTTCACTAAATATGGCTTTTTTTTTTCTCTTTCGTTTTTAGCCTGTTTATCTTTAAGACTACAATGACTACAGCTAAAGTTTCTGTAATAGAACCCCCCCCCCCCCCCCTTTTTTTTTTTCTTTTTTTTTAAGCTGTATATGTATGTAATCTGTATAGTGTTTGATTTTTATACGGTCATGTTTAAGTGACTTGTCAAATTGGGATTGCTTTAAAGATCTTAAATAGACATGACTGTAGTCTCTGCATTTATTTTATTTTACTTGTTTTGCCAGAGCTAATAAAAGCTTGCAGGCACAGGAACTTGAAGACGAGCCGTACTTGGCATGCTTCATGGAGGCGGTTTTCAGCATTTTACAAGTTGAGATAATTCTCGTACAAGGATCACCAGACCACATTTTAGGGCAGGTAGCACCAACATGGTGCCGTGGCCAACAAGGGGCCCTCAGGGGCCTCATGGGCTGCCTTCAGCATCTTCTGAAAATGGCACAACTCACCAGGGGGCTTGAAGATTTAAATTTTATTCTTTTCAATCTTTTATAGAGAATTTCATCATTTTAATCCTACAGAGTATTTAAGCATTTATAGAGATTTCAAAATGACAATATAAAGAAAAATAGGAGATAAAAGAAGTTAAGGTGAACACTGATCCCTCCAGTTCATAGGTCAATATTGGTAGCCCTTATGAGTTAGTACCGATGAAGTAGCCCTCAGCCCTAAAAAGGTTGGTGACCCCTGTTTTAGGGGGACCTAAAGGGATACCCACCCAATAATGGATACAACATATAGTCCCAGTTCTGGGCCTTTCACCTGGTCTCCTGTTTGGAAGTATTTGTGGTAACTTAAAAAATAAAAAGCATTTTTTGGGTGGCCAAAATGATCTGCTTCCAGATTTATGGTTAGTCTGTACCTTAAGGAGAGTAATATGTTATTCAAATGATAGGATGGAAGAAGAATTTATAATTTAATTGATTCATACTTCTGTTAAATTTGTATAGTAGCCAAAACAGATCCAAACAATTCAGAAATGCAATTAAACTAAATTCAGTATTTTTAAAGCTATTCTCATTGGTGATTAAATAATCTAACTCAAAACAAACAGGGGGGCATTTCTCCAATTTGTATAAAAATGTGAGTCAATCAAAAATTATTGTAACAACATAGATACCCAACCAACTCCCCTGTAAAAACAAAAACTACTTTATACATCTACAATAAGGGCCTCGTCATTTTCTGTAAAATTATTTTTCTCAATTGTCAAAAAGCCATGCAATCTTCCTAGGATAATACTTTGGCTTTATTTATACACATGTACTGTTTCCAATCAGATATGATTGTTTTATAATCTATGTTGCTCTTTAAATTTATCCGTGCTTCTACCCTGTCTCTACAATGAATCTATCAATCTAAAAAAAAAGACAACAAATTGTTTAAATAAGGGATAAGGAAAGTTGTAAATAAATCTGAAAGAACGTTTTAGAAAGTTAGAATTTTAAAACCAAGCTTAAAAGAAATTATATAAAAATATTTATATATGTATTACTTAAGTACTTAATGAGTTAAACTGAAACTAAATAAATAGCCTTCATTACATATAAATTAAAATTATATTGATGAGTCAACAGTTACATAAATATACTAGATTTATTTAACTGCATTATCTCTAGATGTTATGACAGATTCTAATTTATAAAATTCATGGTTAAATAATCAAATGTGGAAAAAAATAAACAATTACTGGAACAAACCATTATATATTTTCTTTCTTTCCATCACACCTAATTGGTTAACATGTACAGACACGCCTGACTGCATAGCAATTCAATTCAGTTTATTTATATAGCGCCAAATTCATAACACATGTCATCTCAAGGCACTTTACAGTTCAACCAGATCATCCAGTCAAGTTGATTAAAAGGTTTCTATCTAAGAAAAACCAGTTGATTACATCGACTCATTGACTCGAATACAATCCCTCACACTAAGCATGCTTGTAGCGACAGTGGAGAGGAAAAAACTCCCTTTTAACAGGAAGAAACCTCCAGCAGAATCAGGCTCAGTGTGAGCGGCCATCTGGCGAGGCCGACTGGGGTTCAAGGAGACTGAAGCAGAGACACAAAAAGCAGCTGCAAAAGGCGGCCCCGTCCAGAAAACACACAGCCAGGCAGACAAAGAGAGCACATCCAGCCAGGCACGGTCAGAGACACAGGACCACACTGGAAACAGGCCAATCTCCAGCGTCTATAAACAAGGGTGTTGATGGAAGCAGCACAGCTGATATTTCTCTCCAGGATGGCGTCACAGCCAAACAGGAACAGACAAGGCAAAGCTACTCTGAGGAAAAGCAGAGAGAGCATAACGTCAGAGATTGAACTAACAGATTCTGCAGAATAGGAGAATAGAGAGAGAATGAAGCAGGATGATGATCAGCCTGTCTATAGTTTATCTTTTAACTCCTCACTAATATGTTATTCTTATACATTTTTAAGGTCCAAATTTGTGAGACCATTTTTTCTATAATGTTTTTGCTGCTGTAAACACCAGAATTTCCCCATCGTGGGACAATAAAGGCATTATTCTATTCTATTTCTATTGTATTCTATTCTATTTCTATTGTATTCTTATTTATTCTATTCTATTTTATTCTATTCTATTCTATAGCAGTCAGCCCCACCTACTGACTTACTTTTGGGAGGCTCACAAGTAAAGTCAGAACAAACTGCAAAGTAAGTTTATAGAATTATTAATTATTATTAATTAGAGTAAATGCATCAATTTTATATGCTTGTAAAAAATTCGGTATATTGTTATTTTTTTTGCTATTTTCATCAAATGATTATTAAAGTATTAGTATAAATATACATTTTTTTAAATAAAAAATGTATATTTTTTATAAATAAAAAATTACATATTTATTTATTATTATTATTATTGTTATTGTATTTATTTATTTATTTACTTAACTCATGATATTAATGATTTTAAAGTCTTATTTACGTGTTGAATTTGTGCATCGATATCTCCGAAGTGAGTGTTCGTCCTTGAATAGAAGATCTTTGGGAAGTCCCCGCCCTGACGTTCCTGTCTGCCATTGGTTGGACAGGCTGGCCGCTCGTGCGGGATCAGAGCAGTCTTCGTTTTCTACTTCAGCTAGCTAACCAGCTAGATCACATATTTTTTTTTCTCCTGAAGACGGAGCCTGGCGTGGGAACGTATCAGGTCTGTAGTAAATTACGCCAACGCCCTTCATATTCAAGTTTGTCTGGATCCGTTTTGGTGTCTTAGTGTATTAGCAGGAAAGGTCACACTAAGAAAAAGTTGGTCAGGTGCTGTTGACTTTACTGAAGGTGTTAGTTTAGCTAAGTAGCTAAGAGCCCTTCCGACCACCGGCTCGTACTGTTCGGGCCTAAACGTCATTTAGTAACTAATCACGTATGTTCTCACCTGGAGTTCAGATCGTGGATTCAGATTAACCATGAGGGGTTGGTTTAGTCAACAGACTGCTGAACTATCCACACAGGTGATCCTAACTAGCTGTCGGTCATTTCGAGGCTCAACTTGTGACAGCAGCAAACCTCCTGTCTGGATCTTCGCTGACATTGCGGAGTCTTTTAGACTTGTGCGATTTTATTTACTCGCCTCTGGCCTTTTTTTCTACAACCTCTTAAACAAACTGTTTAACGAGGCGTTAGTTTAGGCGATATTTTGGCAGTGCATCATCTGTTCCAGATGTGCCACCTCATCGTCAGATCCTAATCCGTTAGCTTCAGCCACTGAGGTTTCTGAGCGAGTTATGCTAATGCTTCACGTGTTTGATCCAAAATAAAACCTTTATTTAGGAAACATTGCTCCGTTTGACTGTAACGCGTCACTAAATCAGCTGTATGCTGGACTTTAGATCTGCATGTGTTGCAGTTTAAAGGTCTGTGTTCGCCTATCATGGTTCTTAGTTTTATTTATGATCTCATTTATTAGAGCTGCAGTGTGTGTTTTGCCAGTTTAGGATCATTGGTTTTTCTGCAAGGAGTTATTGTGGAGATTTGTCAGTACCGATTAGTTTTTAACCATAAGGAGTATATATCTTTCCAATTAAAGCTTTTTTTTCTCCAAAAATATTGGTGTTATGGCTTTGGTCACCAGACAGTGAAACCACCAGGGAGCCTGGTGGTTAGAGCAGTACACTTGTGCTCTGAGAAGGTTGCAAATAACTGGTTCGAACCCCACAGCCTCAACTCTGGGTCTCCCTTAACCCCACACTGCTCCCTGGGCTCCACACAATGGCAGCCCACTGCTCCCCAAGGGGATGGGTTAAATGCAGAGAGTTGATTTCCCTATTGTTGGACAATAATGGGATTTACACATAGAAATATTAAACCTATTCTCATGTAGATCGTTTATTTCCTAATCACTGAATCTGCCTCCTCAAATGGAAGACTCAAAATCTCAGTTTCCGCTGCTTCTCCCTCTTTTTTCTATACCTTCTATATCATTGCCAGCAGGGGCCTACATAATCATCCCAGCAGATGTTTCTTTGCTGCAGAGCTACAGTTTCCCTTTGCCTTGTGTTAACAAAAGCAAGGAGTGTGTGATGTTTCAGAATCCGTTTTTGTGGAAACTGAACTGTAATAATAGTGTCTGCCTTATGTGAGGTAGCAGAGGGGACCTGGCTCACGCATGTGAACCTGCTATACTTGGTTGCTTTTTTGTTAAGTCACAGGCTAATATTAACCCACTGAAAGACACTGTGGAATGAAAGCCTACTGGTTTGTGTAACATATTTCAACTCTCAAATCAGGCAACAGCAAATGCTTATTTTTAAAATATGTATTTAAAATTGTTTTTAAAAATGAGTAGAAACGATGTTTAGTTCCCTCACTTTAAACATACAGACTGCCAGAGTGAAAACAGAAGTTTGGTTTGATAGTTCTGCCCTTTAGGGATTTCAGTTCTGCTTTTGTTTTTTTTATTGAGATTCTCCTGGTCAGAAAAACTGTTTTAAATACAGAACATCTTCACAGTTAGTTGGCTTCAGATTTGTTCTGTAATGTTTTTCATGTCATAATAAAAAGAAAAAAAATGTATTACAAAATGCAGCCAATTTAACAGCAGAAATCCCAGAAAAAAG